GCACATGAACTGCTTCATTCCACTGAAATCACCTTTGAGACAGCGTGACCATGCTTGAAAAGACGGGCGCCTTGGCTTTTGATATGTTTCACCCAACTGAGGAAAGTGTTGCATAAGTTTCAGGTGCTTAAAAACTTTTTTTTTTATGATAAGTGTTTAATGACTTCAGTTACTGTATGTAGAGATTAAATCTAATCTATCGACACAAAACTACCTGGGTCATTGCAGAAAAATTTAACTTTCTACAGTTTGTATGACAAAGCAGCCATTTTATTTGAATTCACATAATTTACAAACTTCAAATAAGTTCATTTATACAAGCGCCTTGGTTGGCGATCTCAGTCGGACTGTGATAATTGGGTTATTTTCATCTCTTGTCTCCTTTAAAACATTCATCCTTTTGAGGGGGTGTAGCTGCTGCTGCTGCAGGACAGAAAGATAAAACGTGGAGCAGAGTCTCCTAAGCTGATCAGAAAAACCTGACTTGACTTGTAAAAACTGGATTTAATTCTTTGACATCGTTGCTGCTGTTTGTTTCAGAGCCGACACTTTGCCACGCTCCTGGAGCCAAACCAAACACGGATCTCTGCAACTTTTAACTACTGACATGGGCCAGCTGCACGATTCAGTTAGAAGTGAGGTCTTCGATGACGGCCGGTGTATTTGGTGTCGGCTCGAACTTCCCTGCAGGCCAACAGAAACACAGAGAGACTGAACCAGAGGTGTATTTTATCTGAATCCAAGTTTTAATATTTCAGTGAAGGAAAATCAGTCGTTTCTCCTAAAACAACCAAAAAGAATCGCGAACGTACCGTCCTTGTCGTCTTCGTCTCTCCTTCTTCTCTAAGATCCAGTCTCGTCCCTTTTTCGCCGATTTCCCTGTCATGTTTTTAAATCGATGCCTTTACAACAACAAAACCAAATTAACATTTTCACATTGGTGGTTATCAAAGCACAGCCAGGACCAAGCATCTAAGCTTTAAAATGTCGAAGGGAGGAAAAGTTGCCAGACGGGGTTTTACGTCAGGCAGGACGACGGCCCTTTTTCAGGTTTTTAGGTCTTTTGGCTTCATCAAGACAAGTACGACTGAACCCGCAAGAACTGAAGCCGAGACCTGGATCTGAACCGTCACATCCAACCACACTCGTTATCATCCTGCTAAGAGGGTTTTTACCTTTGTCCTGAATACTGAACTTGGTTTGGGACCGTTTTGCCTGAAGTTTCTGTCCCTAAGCCCTGAAATGAACAAAAACACGACCGTTAGGTTTTATAAGAAAAAGAACAGAAGGGACTTGTGAATATGAACCCTTCTTACTTTGGGAAGAACTCCTGTTACGCCGACAAACAGACACAAAAAAAACCTGAAGGAGAAAAAAATAAAGCAAAGTATCAGTTCTGCAGCTCGACTCGTTGGGTTCTGATTGGACTTTTGTTTGAACTTCCACTCATTTTACAGGCTGTTAGGACGGTTTGAGTGGAAAATGAAAAAGCTTCTGACTTTTTGGCCTTGCTGCTGTTGGGGTAATCCACCACCATGCCGCCACTGAAGCCTGCTCTCATGGCCTGACTTGTAATCAGCTCCAGCTTTGGAGAGGAAAAAATCAATTCAGGAAAACTTAAGGTGAGGAAAAGACAGAAAGTCGTCAGGAAAACAAGAAAAAATACATTTTCTTTTCACCTGTTCTGAGTTTTCAGGGTACAGCTGAAAAACGGCACGAGAACCTCTTGCCTGAAAAGGTGAGGGGAAAAGATTTTAAGAACAATTAAATTCCTGAGAAGGTTTTGAATGTTTGAGCCGACGCTGAATTTAAAGATCAAACCTCACCAGAGAAGAGTAGAGAGTACTAAAGAAGGAATGGAGTCTCTTCGGTGGACTGTGGGACCGTTTGTCTGCGTTACAGAGCCACTGCAGCGCAGAGATGCTGTCGAGTAAAGCAGCAGAGTTCATTTGTAAACTAAAATCTTCCAGAACAAGAAACATTTGAGCCGTGCCATGTTCCTCACCTGACGCAGCCGTCAAACGTGCCGGGTCGGAAAGGCAACCCATGACCCATGTCCCCCAACAGAAGGTCTCCTTCCACTTCTCTGTCCAGAGCAACATCTGTCACAGGACACACGAACCATCCGAGTCAGCAGCTGGGAAACATACAAAAACATCAAACTACTCTCGCCCGACGTGCTTTCGTCAAAAAGTGTAAAAGGTGCTGATTGCAACTTCACGGGTGAACACGACACGTTATACGCCCGTCAACAAGCTTTAATACGACAATCTACAGAAAAGAGCTTGCGTAACATTTGACCTTGAGTTATGACCTTGACCTTAGAGCTGGGATGATGAAAAGTGTTGTGACGCTCAGTCTGGTGATGATGCATGCGTGTATGAAGTTTCGTTAAACAAGTTACGGAAGGATCAGTGAAAGTCTAAGTATGGACGGACAAGAAAGACACCCGCTAAATATGCACAATATTTTATTCTATTAATGTTCAAAATGTCGTTAAACTAAATCTCTGTAAGCGTCCTGCTGCTACCGGATGTGTTTGTTTACCTACGGAAACAGCTGAAGGGCCTGAAAGGTCAACGTCTACAGAAGAGCCGTGTGGGACGAAAAACTCCAACTATGATGAGTGTTCACACAGATCTGACGTTTACCTGCAGAGCCTTAATGGAGGCCAGTCAGGTGGCTGAATCATCCGCTTGCATTTTAGCAGATTCAGCTTTGTTTACACGTACCCACATTTCAGAGCATATCAATATATCTGGACATCCCCTGGAGTAAACAAATTGTACAATTGGATCAGTTCAGGATAAACTTTGGTGATGTCATCACTTTGCACGGAGTACCTTTAACTAAGATCATATTAACGGTTGTGGTTGAACCCTTAAAACGTTCTGTCAGCACTTGGAGGGTCAGGGGAGTGGTGGCGCAGAGGTTAGAGAAGATGCAGAAATGACAAAACAAAAAATGTAAGAGACTTGAACGGTGCTCACGTCTTATAGAAGCAGGTTTATAGTGAAACAACAACTACAACGCACAAATGCGTAACGTTTCAAATCTTACACCGAACTGACTTTAATAAACTCCAAACCTAATCCGTAAATGAATAAAAACGTGAGAAAATAAACTGACCACTTCCGGAGGAGCCGTGTGTTCGGGTCGTCGACAGCTTGAGGCCATTCTCTTTTTGTTTTTGACCTAAAATTCACTTTAAATCCACAAAAAAAATGTGTAGGAAGCAGAACCCACATGGAGGATGTCACGTGACGTCGTCTTCTTCGTGACTTTTAATGACGGTTGTCATCTCTGAATCGGAGAGATGTCGCCATCTGACGTTTGTCTAGGCGCACGAAGACCACATTTTTATCTTTTTGCATTCAAACGCAAATATATTTTAAAGTTTAAATCGTTATAAAAAAATAAACAGATTGAACTGTGCCTAAAATAGTATGCTGTCAGCTACATGTGAAATTTCTCATAAAATAATCAGTTAAATCGATTATGGCGCATTCTCAGTCCCTCGGAAAAGATCATTTTGAACACGTTACATAATTTCCTACCAACTTTGCAAAATGGAGGAAATAGATGACTCCCGGGTAATTTGTCGGTATGTTACCATACCATACCAATTTATTTATAAAGCACTTTAAACAGTGACAAAGCACACCAAAGTGCTGTACAGGGACAAACAGAACAAGCACATAGCAACAGATTACATAACAGGACACCAAAAAGTAGAAACCGACAAAAACAATAATGGATAACAACAACAACCGCAACATGACTAACACAGTGTGATGCACACAGACTCAGCACAGATCACACAGTGCAGAAAGCCAGGGAATAAAAGTGTGTTTTTAAGCGAGATTTAAAAACTGTGAGGGAGGGGGTCTGTCTAACGAGCAGAGGTAACTCATTCCAAAGTCTTGGTCCTGCTACAGAGAAGGCCCTGTCACCTCTGCGCTTGAGACGGGTTCCTGGGTCTGTTAGGAGCAACTGGTCTGCTGATCTGAGAGAACGTGGTGGGACATACGGCTGGAGCAGATCAGTAAGATAGGAGGGGTCAGATCTGTTTAGTGATTTATAGACATACAAGAGTATTTTGAATTTGATTCGAAGGTGAACTGGAAGCCAGTGTAGGGAGGCCAAAACAGGTGTAATGTGCTCTTTTTTGCTTGTGCTGGTCAAAAACCGGGCTGCTGCATTTTGGACTAGTTGGAGTCTGGCTATGGAGGTCTGACTGATACCAAAAAGGAGTGAGTTGCAATAGTCGAGCCTGGATGTAATGAATGCATGAATTACTGTCTCCAGGTTATTTTTGGACAATATGGGCTTCAGCTTAGACAGTCGCCTCAGCTGGAAAAAGCAGGATTTAACAATCATATTTACATGATTGTTGAGTTTCAGAGAAGGGTCAAGTATCACTCCTAGATTAGTGACTCTTTGTTTCACTAACGGTGACAGAACAGATAGGTCGATGCAGTGGTTGGTGATTGTGTCATTGGGAGGAAACAGCATAACTTCAGATTTCTTCTCGTTGAAACTCAAGAAATTTAAAGCCATCTAATCTCTGATGTCAGCCAGGCAGTCCAGTAACGGTTGATTAGAGCGAGTACCGTTGAGTCTGAGGGGGAAGTAGATTTGGCAGTCGTCGGCGTAGAAATGAAAAGGTATGTTATGTTTCGTGAAAATAGCACCTAGTGGCAGCAGGTATAAAGAAAATAAAAGAGGACCAAGGATGGACCCTTGCGGTACCCCCCATTTAAGCGCTGCCGAGGCTGAACTAAAATCTTTGATGGAGACACAAAAGGACCTGTATGTTGTTATCAACCATCCGTCATTAGTAAGTAATTAGTCAATTAGTCATTAATTAAAGCGTAAAATCGCTCCCCTAATAGTGTAATACATCAAAACTGACAAATATTAGTTTTAACTGTATAAAATGCATTTTAAATAGAATACAATTGTAAAAGTGGAGTTAAAATCTGAATTAAACTTACTCTAAATGTATTTTAAATGGAACACAATGGTAAAACTGGAGTTAAACTCTTAATTAAACTTACTCGCAGAAAATTCGAGTTCATTTAGTTGCTTTTGATTTTTTTCAAGATTAAGAAAGTTCCCAGATACATTGAACGCAGCTTTTCTGCTGACCCTGACGTCTTCTTCTTACGACAAAATGATTGGTCGAAAACGGAGCGCACTTCCGGTAAACATTATCCCTGATTGGCTCAATGTTCGGAGTCGGCCGGAAGCTTCTTGTTCGCTGGCTTGTCACCTGTAAAATGGCGGCGGTCAGTCGAAGGTTTATTGATTACGGAATTTACCGGCTGGTAGGTTTCAGAACCACCCCGAATCGTCCACTGTGCATCGAAGGAAGTCCCGGTAGTCTTTTAAACTGTGCTTCTTGTCGCAGCCCGACTAAGGAGGAAAATGTTCAGGTTCTGTCACAAAACAGAGCAGGACTCGTATCAGAAAAACTTCATAGACTGAAAGAAGCTCAAAATCAACAGAAACATGTGACTTTTCTCGGTGCTGCTTCTTTTCATTTGCCTTCATCTCGTTTAATTTGCTGTACGGACACCATAGAAAGACCACAAGCCAGCACAACAGGGCTGCCCATCTCTACAGGATTCCTCGAGAACAAGCTGCCTTCTTCCAGCAGGTCCAAAGGATTTGTTTTTAACCACTCAGAGACCTTGAGGTCCGTCCAGCAGCTCAGAGCCTTCTGCACTGCCCTCTTCATCCTGAAGAGCACCTGGTCAGAGAAGCTGAGTAGTGAACTGAGACTTCCTCACACTTTGAGAGGGTCAACAACAACTAGAGGCTACAGCAAGAGAAGTAAGACGACCTATTATGACGTTCTCAAAGTGTCCCCCAGTGCCACACAGTCTCAGATCAAGACGGCGTACTACAAGCAGTCCTTAATCTACCACCCTGACAAGAACGCGGGCAGCCAAGAGGCCACACAACGCTTCTCTGATATCAGCGAGGCTTACACCGTCCTGGGCAACATCAGCAAGAGGAAGAAGTACGACCAGGGCATCCCGAGCCAGTTTGACACAGGGAGACAGTCCACTAAAGAGACAACGAGCAGGTTCACAGGTTACCAGCGACAACACAAAGCCAGACACTTCTACCAAACCGATGGGAGGCCCATATACGATTTTGATGCCTATTATCAGGCTCATTATGGAGAGCAGCTGAGGAGAGCTAGGGCCATAAGAGCCAGGAAGAAGCAGTTGGAGGAGATGCAGGAGAAGAACCATGAGGAAGTTATGGTTGCGACTATTTTGTTGGCGGTGTCCATGGCAGGGCTAATTTTTTTCAGTTACACCAAATTTTGAAATGGCAGCAGCTGGATGGGTGGCTTCACAGCACAAAACCTTATACCAGCTGTCCAGCACGATGGTGGACTAATGATGATTTGGGTCTGGTTTTGCAGCCAGAACCTTTGTGTTTTTACAAAATGTGCACATTTTCTGCCAGATAACATTGGCATTCTGATCTGAATGTATGGGTGCAATAAAGCCTCTGCTGCTTCAGTTTCTGTATATTTGGAAAAAAAACTCGGGTGTTCGTGTAAACACGGGCAGTTCAAGTAACTATAGATCACCTTCTGATGTATTTTAGGGTTTGGACACCTTTATTTTGAAAAGCTAATCTAAATGTAATATCAGGTTTACTGGTTTGGTTTGATCTTACTAAATTATCAGTGTACTTTTTATTTGACTTTACTGCTTCACACTACAGAACCTTTTTCTTTTTGATTAGTTTTTTGGTGACAATTTGCTTCTATTTCATCCACTATCGTTTTTTTTTTTTAAACGCATCAGAAGGAGATCCTTTAAGAGCCAAAGTTGGAAGCACGAACGATCAACAAGTCAAAACTAATTTATATAAATCTAAAATGAGAAGAAACTTAAAATATAACAAAACAGTCTTCTTTTAATGTGGTTCTTAAAAAAAAAAAAAACGTCTGCAGTACTTTTAAAGAAGCAAAGAACAAAAGACAGTTTTTATGAATAAAAACTGGAGAATGTGAGTTTATAGGATTTTAAGCTCTGAGCAGTGTGGCATTCAAGGTGAACAATTTTGATCAGTTTCTCTAAAATCGCTTCAACTTGTACACCGTGATCAAAATGTGTAAATGAGGCCCAATAATAAAAAATCCACTTTTTTTCCCTTTACACCAGATCTGTAGAGGATAAAGTTTTAATATTGCATGTAAATGTATACAGCTGCTGTACGTCTGACTTTATGTGTTTTTAAATGTATAAACTTGGATGTACTGGCCCCACAGGATGCCTTGATACGGCTCAGATTTTGAAATTAAATTAAGCCAAGCTACTTTAAAGAAATAAACTCGTTTGGTTTAATGTTTCAGTTTTGTCCTTTTTGCTCATTGGATTTGTACAGTTGGAGTCCTAGTTGATTCAAAACCACTCCGTGTTTGATTTATAGTGACTCTTGTTTTTTAAGGAAAAAGAAGACAAACAAAACTTAACATTTTATATATTTTAAGTTTTCTAATATTTGCGAGTTTTTATCAAATGCAGAAATGTAGTCTGAGACTTTTTTGTTTTACTTTCACAGCTTCAAGTTACAATTTAGAAATATCAAAATATCAATTCCTCTTTAATCTGTAGATTATTCTTAACTATTTTAGGGGTGTACTGTGAATGGTTTGAATCATTTTGTAGTTTTCTGCAAACTGCCTTATGTGTTTTCTAGAAAATTAACTTACAGAGTTTACCATTTACTTCAGCAGACAGACTAACTTGGAAAAAATCAATTTAGGAGAACTCCAATTAACCAGCACGTTTACAAAGAGCTCGTCTGCGAATAGAAAACAAAAGACAGAAGCTGAGCTGTTTGGGTTCAGAAAGGTGGTGCTAGTTTTGTGAAATAAAGAATAATAATGGTCTTGAACAGAATCGGAGCTTCTAACAAGAAAATTACTGAAAACGAGCAGCCAGAGCGGAGCACATGGTATGGTATAAAGTTTATTCATTTTTAAAAAGTACAAAACAATTCCATAACAATATAAAAAAGATACAAAAGACTTAAAATGAAACGCAGCAGAAAGAAGAAAAAATCTTATTATATCTGCCCCTATTTTCAAACAATTATTTCAATCATAATAATTTTCAAGTAACAGAACAAAATGAATAACTTTCTAATATTTCTATTTCTAATACAAAAAACACACTAAGCTACTTCATATATACTTTTTTAACAATTCAGCTTTGATCTTTTTCTTAAATGTACACATTGACTTGACATTTTTAACATCACTCTCTAGTCTAGACCATTCCACAATCCAACTCCTTGGATTGAGGTAGACCTTCCCTTCAGACTAGTTCTGAATTTTGGTTTGACAAATATCTCTATCCCCTTAAGATTGTAACAACTTTGTCTTTTAACAAAATTTCTTTGGATATTTAATGGTAATGTGTTATTTTGAGCCCTATACATAACTGATAAAATACTGTAATCTACCAAATCATGGAACTTCAATAACTTCAGATGATAAAATAATGTGCTTGATGGGTGACTGTAATGCTTTCTGGTGATGATTCTTACAGCTCTTTTCTGTAAAATAAAAATAGGTTTTGTAAATGTTTTACACGCTTTCCCCCAAACATCAATGCAATAGATTAAATGTGGAACAATGATTGTGTTATACAACATGTACGGAGCTTTATCATTTAATAATTCCCTGACTTTGTATAGTACTGCAATAGATTTAGATATTTTTGTTCTTACAGAATTTATGTGATTTTTCCATGTTAGCTGTTCATCAATGATTACACCCAAAAATTTCATCTCATTAACTCTACAAATCTCAACACCCTCAATTTTAAATGGATCGTCAACAGTTTTCTTTTTGTTACTGTATATCATGTATTTAGTTTTATCTAAATTTAATGATAATTTATTAAGTTTAAACCACGTTTGTATTTTATCAAATTCTGTCTTCATCAATTCCAACATCCGTTTTACATATACCCAAACAAAGAAATGTGGTGTCGGCTGCAAAAAGGACACATTTGAGGAGTCCTGATACATTCACTAAGTCATTCACATATAAAATAAATAACTTTGGTCCAAGTACAGAGCCTTGAGGAACTCCACAAGTGATATTGCACAGGTCAGATCTTACACCATTTATTTGTACAAACTGTTTCCTATCTTTTAAATAGCTAGATACCCAGTGTAATGCTGGTCCTCTTATACCATATTTATTTAATTTTTCAAGGAGAATAGTGTGGTCAATAGTATGGAATGCTTTTTTTAAATCAACAAAAATACTAACACAATACTGTTTTTGATCGACAGCAGTAGTTATTTGTTCTATTATTTCCATGAGAGCCATTGATGTAGAGTTTTTTGCTCTAAACCCATACTGACTGCTACTTAGAATGTTTTGTTTAGTAATAAATTTATCTAATCTGGTCACAAACAGTTTTTCTAGAATTTTTGAGAATTGTGGTAATAAGGATATTGGTCTATAATTATTGAACACACATTTATCACCATTCTTAAAGAGAGGAACTACCTTAGCTACTTTCATATTGTCTGGAAATATTCCTTTTGAAAATGATAAATTACAAATATATGTAAACGGCTCGATAACATAACTCATTATGTCCTTTACAAACATCATATCCATGTCCACCCAGTCTTTTGATCTCTTATCTGTAAGATTTTTTACTACATTCATTATTTCTTCTTTGTCAGTTCCATTAAGAAAAATACTGTTGTCACAACCTATAACTGAATGGTTCACATTATTGTCTACTTTTGGTATTTTAGCTGCAAGGCTTGATCCAACGTTCACAAAATGATGATTAAATCCATTTACAATTTCATTTTCATCATGGATTTCATTGTCATCCTTCAAAAAATATTGTGAAATACCTGTTTTTGCTTTATGACTTTTCAGAACACTATTTATTACTCGCCATGTAGCTTTCATATCACCATTACTTTTATTTAATAAATCACTATAATATTCCTTCTTGTGTTTCCTTATAATCGCTACTAATTTATTTTTATACTTCTTATATTTCTCTTCAGCCTCTTGTGTTCTCAATTTCAAGAAACATGTATACAAATAATTCTTTTTTTTACAAGCATTTCTCAACCCTTTCGTCATCCATGGTTGGTCAACATTTCTCTTTGTACAATTATTTTGCACACAATTCTTTTCATACAGAGCTCCCAAAATATTCATAAACTCATCATATGATCTGTTCACATCATCAACATACACGTCTTTCCAGCTTTGTTTATGTAAATCATCTTTTAATTTGTCCATTGCTTTTTTGATGTGTTTATTGTTTTTTCTTTAATTGTAATTTCTTTTGTAATGCTTTGATCATTTTTATAAATCGTGAAAACTGGTAAATGATCACTTAAATCACTCGTTAAAATACCTCCTATCACATCCCCATTTGTTACATTTGTGAAAATATTATCGATTATTGTAGCACTATGAGTTGTAATTCTTGTTGGTTTTGATATTAACGGATAAAGATTAAAACTACACAATGAATTTGTAAATGTACTGATGTTATTTGAATCTGTTTTATTTCCCAGGTCAATATTAAAGTCTCCACAGAAAAAAATGCTTTTATTAAAACTCTTGTCCAATAGTTGTACGATTTTATCAGTGAATATTTCTATATTTGATCCATCACATCATTTGATTCAGCACATCAATAGTTCGTTAGCATATTATACGCCCGTCGACAAACCATTATACAGCAACCTATAGCAACAGCCCAGACAAAGACCTTGTATAACATTTGACCTTGATTTGTGACCTTGACCTTAGAGCTGTAGTGATGAACAGTGAACATGACACTTCATCTAGCGATGATGCATACTGTATGTGTAGGGAGTCATATCTCTCCAGTTTTAGCTTCTATTCATTGGCTCCCTGTCAAATTCAGAATTGAATTCAAAATCTTACTTCTAACCTACAAAGCTCTCAACAACCTAGCTCCATCTTATATTACATATCTTACTGGTCCATATTTTCTGAACAGAGCACTTTGCTCTCAAACTGCAGGCTTTCTTGCGGTTCCTGGAGTTTCCAAAAGCAGAATGGGAGGAAGATCTTTCAGTTATCAGGCTCCTCTCTTGTGGAACCAAATTCCAGTTTCTGTCCAGTCCGACACATTGTCCAGTTTTAACACTTTCCTTTTTGATAAATCCTATAGTCAGCTTGGTTTCTGACCCATTCCTTATCCTATGCTGCTATAACCTTAGATTATTGGAGAACAAAGCTCCCTCATTTTATCAAATGAATAGTTACAAATGCAAACAATTGAATAGTTTGTATTTGTAATTATTATTTCCTAACATGTGATTCTGTCTTTCCTCCTAACCTGATGGCCTCCATCCTGGACCTGCATTTGTGTTCGTTTCTCCTTCCTGTTCCTCTCAAATCCAGCCAGATGGCCACTTGTCCTGAGCCTGGTTCTGCTGGAGGTTTCTTCCTAATGAGGGAACTTTTCCTTTCCACTGTTGCCTCTGTGTTCGCTTAGGATGGGAGACTGTGAAGAAGTGAAAACTCAAAGCAATTTGCTGGCTCCTTCGATAAATATACTTAACTGATTTTTACCAAAGGACCAGTCCAAAAATATCTTAACAATATACTGTATGAATGTTTCTGTTCAGTGCCCTGAGATGACTTCTGTTGTGACTTGACACCATATAAATAAACTGAACTGAAGTGTGGAAAAACAGCACAAAACAGTTTGTTCACATTTTATTCACAGAAATATAAAGTAGTTATGAAGTACATCACTTTGTACAAAATTGCACAGACTCTTCAAAACTCAGTCAGACAACAGAAAGTTGAGCTGGGAAGAGTTGGGGAAATAAAAAAAGTTGAAACGTGAGCGATCCTTGATATGTGGGACGGGTTTTTCTTTCCAGCCAACAACGCCTGCTGCTCCATAAAGAAGATTTGGTAGGAAACGTCATTTACAGCGGCTAAAGAATAATATGTTTCAAAAATAGGATTCAAATTGGCACATGAACTGCTTCATTCCACTGAAATCACCTTTGAGACAGCGTG